GTCGAAGTTCTGGTTATACTAGTGGTGCTTATGGAGGAAGAAGTTTCGGTGATTATCAAGCCGGAGGCTATGGGGGAAATTATAGTAGTGTCCATGCTTCTGAAAGTTGAGTCCAATGTGCTTGGTGTTATGACCAATGACAGGCTGAAATCGCCGCTAATAAGAGATTTTGGATCAAGTGGTGATTAGGAGGAATTTTATTAGTGGTTATTGCGACAATTGCCAGCATTTTTATTTTTCCAGGTTTGGAAGGGAATAAGAATTCCCAAACCAAGAATCCGGTTCCCTGACATCAGATGACGATTTTCTCGGCGGGTAGTTGGAAAATTCCTCTGATTTCCCTCATAGTTCTTGGGGTTAGTCTTCTTCTGGTAAGTATTTTGGGTAATCTTTTCCAGCCCTCTGTCGACCGCTACAAATTGCGAAGACGACCAACTAAATTATAAGAAAATGAAAAAAACCGAAAAAGTTATCCTCTTAAACAAAAACAGGTGAGGGGAAAAATACGAAATAAAAGAGTTTGCGAGAGGATTTGTTAGATATCTTTTGTTACAAAAACAAATTGTGATGGCTAATGAAAAAAATCTTTCCTGATTAGAACAACAAAAAGCCAAACAAGCCCAACTTGACTTGATCCTGGAAGCCAAGGCTCAAGAAATATACGACAAAATTAACGGTCTTTCTCTTAATTTTTCCTTAAAAAAAAATGAAAAAGGGGAACCACTTGGCTCGGTTGGTTTTAAAGAAATTTTGAGCGAATTAGAAAAAAGCGGTTTTCAGTTAGAAAAAAAACAATTACCAGATTTTCGTCCGCTCCATAAATTAGGAGAAAATATGATAAAAGTAAAATTAAGTAATAGCCTAACCGCTAACTTAAAAATAGTAATAGAATAATAAAATTAATAAATATATAGAATGAATACAATGGCAACTGTTAAACTAAATAATTTTGAAATTAAAAAACTGATTGATAAAAACCTCCAAGATTACTTTATGATTATTAATAATGACAATCGGGATGAGGTTTATTTTTGTTTTCAATCCCGAGTTAAAGAAGGATGAGACATTTTAAGTAAAAGTCCTTCTCCAATTAATATTGAAATTGAGTACGAAGAAAATGAGCAAGAAAGAGGTGGTGAGATTAAGGTCTACAAAAGAGCAACTGCTCTATATACTGACGATGACATACTTATTTAAGGGAATAATCGCAATAAAATTAATGCGGTAATTGAAATTCTCTCAAAAAAAATAGGTGTTAAATGTTTTTTTCGATTTGAAAGAAAATAATAATTAAATTATCAACCAGATGATAATTCTTGCCCTAGAAACTAGTTGCGATGAGACTGGTATCGC